CAGTCAGTCAGTCAGTCAGTCAGTCAGTCAGTCAGTCAGTCAGTCAGTCAGTCAGTCAGTCAGTCAGTCAGTCAGTCAGTCAGTCAGTCAGTCAGTCAGTCAGTCAGTCAGTCAGTCAGTCAGTCAGTCAGTCAGTCAGTCAGTCAGTCAGTCAGTCAGTCAGTCAGTCAGTCAGTCAGTCAGTCAGTCAGTCAGTCAGTCAGTCAGTCAGTCAGTCAGTCAGTCAGTCAGTCAGTCAGTCAGTCAGTCAGTCAGTCAGTCAGTCAGTCAGTCAGTCAGTCAGTCAGTCAGTCAGTCAGTCAGTCAGTCAGTCAGTCAGTCAGTCAGTCAGTCAGTCAGTCAGTCAGTCAGTCAGTCAGTCAGTCAGTCAGTCAGTCAGTCAGTCAGTCAGTCAGTCAGTCAGTCAGTCAGTCAGTCAGTCAGTCAGTCAGTCAGTCAGTCAGTCAGTCAGTCAGTCAGTCAGTCAGTCAGTCAGTCAGTCAGTCAGTCAGTCAGTCAGTCAGTCAGTCAATCTCGACAACAAACAATTTCGAGGTTTTAGTAAGGAAAGAAAAACACAACAGTTGCTTTTATTTGATACCAATCATAAATGAAAAATGACGGAAAATTAAAATTTAAAAAAGTTCTCGGAGAATGATTCACGTAACATGAACATTCAGTAAAAACAGTTCACAGCATATCTAAATGGCTAAATCAACATACCAACCAGAAATTATTTATAAATGCATATATACAAAGTATATCAGGAAATACCAAAAATTATATAACCAAAATAAAAAAAAACCAGAAATACAATTAATATTACAAACCTTACAAATAAATAAATAAACATTATTAGAAAAATTGTTCAAAAAGATAAGAGAATAAAATTTAGTTTGTCTTGTGTGTGTGTGTGTGTGTGTGTGTGTGTGTGTGTGTGTGTGTGTGGTGTGAAGCAAAAACAAACACATCACAAAAAACTAGTAAAAAGTGTCGCAAGAATAGTAGTCAGTCACCTACCTACGATTAAATTACTCTCAGGGCCCTAGCTTACCTATAATGATTAACTCAACTCACCCACCTACCTACAAATTTGTATTTCTAGGTTTTAGATATTTTACATGTTTTAGGTATTACTTTTTACATATTTGAACGTTTTTATTTTACTTGAAACTTTTTAACTAATGTTAAGCAGCCCTAGCCTACCTACAGTTGTTCAACTCATCTCAATCCCTAACTTACCTACGAATTAAATTAAGTCCGGTAAAGAAATTAGAAAGTTGAAGAGAAACATAACAACAACGACACCGAATGAATGGATGTTGTGTATGTTTGTGTTTTGTTGATGTGTGTGTGTGTAAATGTGAGCGCGTGTACTCTCTAGAAACTTCTTCACTCCCTACGGACGAACCTCCATTGCACCGACCATCATCTGACACGCACCGATGGAATAGTGAATTTGACCGGGTACTGAAAACACTAAATTGAAAAAAAATATTGATTCTTTAAAATAAAAAAACAAGCCATTGGAAAAAAGTAATAAAAATAATAAAGTAATACTTTGTTCGAATTCGAGTACTTTCAAAGGTACGATGGGACAAAAACAAATTTTCCTTTAATGTAATCTTCAAATTGTCATCGGAACGATCATCATGAGACTTCCATCTGAAACGTGCTGACGCCCACCACAGCCCACCTCTCGTCATTCTGTAAACAAGTTTTTTTGTTAGCGTAGTAGTAAATCAAGGAACAAAAGAACGAACGAATAAATGATTAACTGAATGATTGGATGATTGGTCGAATGAGTGAATTAACTAATTAATTAATCAATCAATGATTTAATGAATCAATCAATCAATTAATTAAGGAATAATTTGAAAGAGAGTGATAAAATGAATGAATGAGAAAAGTAAAAAAAAACTAAATCATACTTCAAAAATCGTCGTTGTTGTTTTCCTTGAATTGTCATCGGAACGATCATCATAAGACCCCCATCTGAAACGGTCTGATGCCCACCACAGCCCACCTCTCATCATTCTATAGACAAGTTTTTTTTATTGGCGTAGTAGTAAATCAAGGAACAAAGAAACGAATAAATGGATAGAATGAATTAACGAATCAATTAATGGAAGAATAATTTGAAATATTGAATGATAAAACGAACGATTGAATGAATGAATGAGAGAAATAAAAAAACAAAACTAAACCTTACTTCAAAAATCGTCGTTATGTAATTCATTGCACCGACCATCACCATCTGGTCGGCACACAAGATGTCATCCGAACTTCAGAGTGTCAGTCGAACAGCCAACGAGCTGATTCTTTTTACACCACCATCATCACACGTAAATCATCATGAGACCACCATCTGAAACGTGCTGACGCCCACCACTGCCCACCTCTCATCATTCTGTAGACAAAATTTTTTATCAGCGTAGTAGTAAATTAATGCTAGAATCTTAGAAACAAAAAATTGTAAGATGAAAATAATGGCAAATAAATAATACTTTAAAATAATAAAGAGAGTAAAATGTAAAAAACTTACCGTCGTCCAATCGACAAAAGCAGAATGTTGAATGCGGTCTGGTTCCTACGTTTTCGTCCAAAACTGGTGCCAGTCCTCCTCGAGAT